CACGTTTTCTTTTCTTTTTCTTTCTTTTTATTAACCACAATCACTGTGTAGCTATGATATGAAACTCTTATTCTGTAAATTTGAAATATTTCCTTTTGCAAACTTGATCTTGATTGTATGCTTTGTTGTTTCATTCTCAGCATGCGTTTTGATTCATAGAAAAGTGGTCCCCTTTTGTTTCTCTCCTTCCTTTTTTCGAAGGCGACCTTTTTATGGCTTTTGTTTCTTTCCTCCATTTTCTTTTATATATCTGTCAATGCAAATCGAGCACTAGTTTGGTTTTATCTTCTTCTGTGTTTCTGAATTCTGATTTCTGGGATTGATCACCTACTAGGGTATTGCCTCTCTCTCTCTCTCTCTCTCTCTCTCTCTCTCTCTCTCTCTCTCTTACAAGTGCTCTTGTTAAATGATTTAAGTGATGCATCAACATGACATGATTCTACAATTATTGTTTTTTAAGATTTGATTACTTTATCACAAATGCAGTCTCCGAAATTTATATTTTGTTAAAGTGATGTTGTGGTAAATTGCCTATTCCGGTTTAATTCTGGTTTTGAGACTAGTTTTACCTGAAAGGCTTGGTTGCTGTGATATCTCATGGCTTCTTTACAGTTGGAAACATGGTTCTCTTTGATCTCCTTCTGGTGCATTTCTGCATTAACTACTTCTTAAAAAATGGTATTTATGGGGTTTGTTTTTGCAATTGATCGTGCACCATTCTAAAGTGGGGAAAGATAAAATCTTGAGGTTGTTTTGAAAAATAAAATAAAATTGAGGAGTCAGTGGCTAAGTTGCATTGCATATAAGACTTCAGCTTTAGTGTTTTTGAAACCATAGGGACTAATGGGATTTTCTAACCTCTCATCAAAGATCTAACCTCTCATCAAAGAAGAAGACGGTTTTTAACCATTGGGTAAAAACTCAACTGTTGTTAAAGTTTGCTTAGGATCTGATTGTGATGTGCTTTCCAGGTGGATACTTCATATCTTGGAAGACATTCTAATAAAGTTGAACCATCATAGAGGATGAATGGGCAGAAAATTAAGCGCCGAGTGGGTAAATATGAGGTAGGGAGGACCATTGGGGAGGGAACATTTGCAAAGGTGAAATTTGCTAGGAACTCTGAGACTGGGGAGCCTGTGGCTCTTAAGATTATTGATAAGGAGAAGGTTCTCAAGTATATGCAAGCTGAGCAGGTACTTCAAGAAATTTTCTTTGACATCACACTCTTGTTCTACCTTCCCATGTACTATTAAGGCATACATTTTTATGTCTAATTGGTTCAAGACACTGATTAAGCATGGCTTTGTTTTTCAACTTAGTTTTAGAAGGTATTAGGTTTCAGATTTCAAATACATATTTTGTTGTGAAGTTGCTATAGGGCCTCACTTGGGGAAGTAAAATCTCGATGTTTTCTCGATGTATTTTCACAGATCCAGCGAGAAATAGCCACAATGAAGTTGATCAAGCATCCAAATGTTGTTCAACTATATGAGGTCTCTCTCTCTCTCTGTATATATATATATATATATATATATATATATAATATTACACCCACAACCGACATCTTGCCTCTCACTTTTTGACATATATTCTTCTCTTTTTATTAGAACAGATAAACTTTGACTCAAATGTTGCTTATGGAAAGAGTGATCACTCTGTTATGAACTCAATTTACTGGCCTATGTTTTGATATCTTTACTGTATCTTTCATGGCATTTAATCGTTTCTAAAAGTTTTCCTTGCCTGAATTTGTCCTATTTTTAAAACCACTGTTTGGGCATAGAACTTAAAAACAGTCTGTTTGACAAAGAATTTAGCTTACCGTTCAAGAAATTTGTCAAAGTGTCATGAAACAATATTTGAAGCCAAAGGATTATAAAAGTTTTCTAAATGTTGAAAATAACCTCCTTCTTTTGAGGTTCTAAACATGTTTATTCACCCCATCTAACAAAAGGAAATCTCATATCAATTTTGCTGTCTTGTTTTGATATTTCTTCACCCTGCTGGTGAACTTTCTACCCCATAAACATGATTATCTTTCTGATCAATTAAGCACTTAATTTGATGTCAATCATCCTTGCCGCTGCTGGTTTGAAGACCTTCAAAACTGATTTGCTCACATTCCATTGGAGCTAATACTCAAGACTCATAACAAAAATACCTTATCAAACTAATTGACCTCTCTCATAATTTGCTTTCTAGCTGATATTCAAAGAACAAAGATTAGAATTCTTATGCACGAAAGAAATTACCAAATTAATTATCAAACAAATCCTTATGCAATAAATTCATTTCTTAAAGTGCATCATGCAAGATTTCATATCTCATTTGCAGGTCATGGGGAGCAAGACAAAAATATACATTATTTTAGAGTTTGTGACTGGGGGAGAACTTTTTCATAAAATTGTGAGTAAATAAATTTTTCTTAGATCCTATTTGGTTATAATTTTCTTTCATTTACGATTGATTCTAGAAATTGATTAGGAAAATATAAAGTGGATACATATTGGATTACATTTTGGGTTCTCCGTCTCCATTTGACTTATAATTCTATAGTTGTGGTCTACCTCGTGCTTGTTCATTCCTTCCATTCCCAGTGCTATCATAGTTGAGATGTAAAAGGGTGTTGTGTGTCTTAGTCCGTAAGTTGCAATTTTGTTGAAGCGGAAAAACTGTTTGTTAAAAGTTTTAATTGTATTTTTTTTCTTGTGAAGTTAAACAGTGGACGGATAAGTGAAAAGGAAGCACGTAGATATTTCCAGCAGCTTATCAATGCGGTTGACTATTGCCATAGCAGGGGTGTCTATCACAGAGACCTGAAAGTAAGCCTATTAGCAATATGCTGATTCTTCAATTTATTTTCTTTTGATTAAAGAAAGTAAAAAAAAAAATACTTACTTTAATTTCATTGTTATTCATATAACTTTGTTCTGCAGCTAGAGAACTTACTATTAGATGCTTTTGGGAACCTTAAAATTTCTGATTTTGGATTGAGTGCACTTTCCCAACAAGTCAGGGTAAGAATGATTTGTTGCCTTCTCAATTAAATTTGGGTAAAACATCATTTTGCAATTTAATATTTGCACCATTGGTTAACTTAGTCCTCTATATAAGGAAAAATGTTAAATTTAGCCTGACTTTGGCAATTGTAAGTTAATTTGAAGCCCGACTATGGCACGCATTAGTAGCACAGCACAAGGACTAGACTTGCTTTTTCAGTATGTTTGGGGAAGAAAACTAAAATATAATTGACATACAAAATCAAACAAGTTTCAGTTATATTAGTAGGGAACTTAGTCTTGAAATTTTGAATCTCTCAAAAGACAAGCACGTTAGTTTTCTACTTTTCGGCAACCAAAGTTGTAAAAGATCCTGGCCAAGTCACTGTTCTTTCTATCTCATAATATCCAAATGTTCTGAATTTGAATATGAATGACAAATTGGCAGGATGATGGACTGCTCCATACAACATGTGGAACTCCAAACTATGTTGCTCCTGAGGTGCAGACAAATTATATGCTAAATACAAAATTTCTACATTTAAAATAATTCCTGTAATCATATATTCTTGTTTAGTAGGTCCTTAATGATGGAGGCTATGATGGGGCAGCTGCAGATTTGTGGTCATGTGGTGTGATTCTCTTTGTATTGCTTGCAGGCTACTTGCCTTTTGATGACACCAATCTTTTGAACCTATATAAAAAGGTAAGCACTTTTTTAGTTTTGCATAACTTAATATTGTCCTGAATATTTTTGTGTTTATTATTTTCATTTCTTGGTTTGCAGATTTCAGCTGGTGAATTTACATGCCCCCCCTGGCTTTCATTTAGTGCCAGGAAATTGATAACTAGAATCTTGAATCCCAACCCCGTGACTGTAAGATGCAAATGAACCCTTTTAGTCAAATGACATAGCTCTGGAGAGTTTGAAAAATTTGAACTCATTACAACTGAAATTTCATTCTTATTCCTAAAGTAAAAGAGCCATTTCACCTGTAACATTTGTAATTTTTGAAACTGAGTTAGCTATGTCATTTGACCGATTCACTATTTTTAACGTATTTGGAATCTCCTTATGTTTTTTTTTTTGTTAAATAAATCACAAATATTTAAAAGAAGATGATAATTATAATCAAATTAGTTTCATTGTTTCATTCGTTTTTCTGATTTTATATAACTTTATGGCAGCGTATCACTATATCGGAGATTATGCATGATGAATGGTTTAAAAAAGAATACAAACTTCCAGTTTTCGAGGAGACAAAGGAGAGAAACACTGATGACATTGAGACCATATTTAAAGACTGTGAAGTATGTTGAAGATGACCTGTATGATTTTGGTATTGGTTTTCCCTATTCGTTGTAGTATTGCACACATCACTAGTTTCATATTAAGGATTTTCTCCAAAAAATGCAGGTACACAATGTAAGAGAGAAGGAAGATCAGCCAACACCTATGAATGCATTTGAATTGATATCCTTGTCCAAAGGGCTGAACCTAGAAAACTTGTTTGACGTAGACCAGGTTCTTAACTTCATATGATAGGATTGCTTTTATTATAATGATGAATCTTTAGCATCGATTGTTTTTCTCTCAAATTCTCATCCACCAGGAATCTGGTTGAGATGTGGAAAGGATTTCCAGATACCAAGGAAATGAGTGTAGCCCCACAGGCATGTCTCATTGGATATTCAGGTTTTTATTTACTATAATAGTAAAATCATCATTTATGTTAGAATATATAGTCAACAATAATCATGTTGATTTAACATGGACCAGGCTATAAGTTAGTTAGTGGTTATTGGGATGCAAATTAGCATCTGTTTACCTCCTAATTACCCCTTAAGTACTCCATCGATTAATCATAATCAAGCTATAAATAAGAGATCAAGTGTCCATCCATTACACACGGTTCCTCTCTATAATTATCTCTTTCAATATTATTTATTATTCATAACACCAATTATATAGTGTTAGAAGTTTAACCTTTTATTTAGGATTTAGTAATAAAATATAAAATATAGTAAAACATGAATTGATACTAAGTTATGTAAATTTCAACATACTGAATTAAAGAGAAACTAGTTCTTTTTAGCCTAGTTATTTTTACTTTTCATAAAAGTACTATAACCATACATTTGGAGAAAAATTCTAAAAATATTAAGGAGATTAGTTTTGAAAAGGAGGGTGGTGGCAGTAGCGTTTTTGAGAAAAGAAAGAAAGAAATATAACTGGAAACAAATCCTAAGTTTCATATCTTGGTCTTGTGCTGTTTCTTATCCTGAATAATGAGAAAGAGTGGAAGGTGCATTATAAAAGGTGTCAAGAAATAGACTTTAAGCCTAATTCAACCTCACAAAACTGGCTTGTAAGGTTAGGTTTGCACCTACTTATATATTCTAAATTGGCCTTATATCTAGTTGATGTGGGACTTCCAACACCCTCCTCACGTTGAGATATATTCTTCTGAAGTGTGCGACTAGATATTAATAGATGGTGTGATAGCAACCTGATAGTGGATGGAAAAATTGACCCAACAAACATCAAATATTTCTTGGATAGACTCTAACCTATGACTCTGAAACCATGTTAAGAAACGGACTTTAAGCCTAGCTCAAACTTATATGTGACAATCAGGTTGCTCTTCATGTTAGTTCTAATCTTGTCTTTCATGAGAGGACCAAACACATTGAGATTGATAGTCATTTCATTTGAGAGAAGATTGTATCTAGAGACATCAAGACTGAGTTCGTCAACTCAAATGATTAGTTAGTAGATATTTTCAGTAAATCTTTACGGGGTCGATAATTGATTATATTTGAAATAAGCTTGGTATATACGATCTATATACACAAGCTTGAAGGGGAGTGTTGCGTTTAATGTTAATTAGGGAAACATAGTCCTATGGTAATTATGATCTTTTTACATATTCATCTGTATTTGGGCTTAGCCCACATTCTAATTATTATAAATGCATTGTTCTATGTGTATTTTCTAGACAAGGGAGATTGACTCTAAACCTAATTTTCATTATAATCATTAGAAGGAAATTTACAAATAAAATGTGTTATGTAGTTAGTTGTTTTGGGAGACAGACTTTATGAGAAAGTCGGTATATAGTTTACCTTTGGAAGGTGTTGGAAGTCTTTTTTAGTATGAAGAGTTTTTTTTCTGTTGTAAGAGGGAGTACCCTGTGTGAAAGGAAGTATCTTCCTTTGTATGTGGTTGTTTGTGTACAATATTGAGAGTTTCTGATATAATACTGCACAGGTTCTCAAGCCTACATTTTTGGTGTTTTGTTCTTTCTGGAATGTAAAAATTTGGTCTGACTTGCCGGATCTAGAAACAAAGGAACCTAATGGAGAGTCGGCTAAGCAATCTTGAAAGATGGGAAGTGAGCAAGGGAAGGTGGTTGTGGAGCTGAAAGCTGATATGACCATAACAAAAGAAAGTTTTTAAGATATGAAAGAAATCAAAGAACTGGTACATGAAATCAAGAAAAGAGAGAAAGTGTTTGAAGGAGGGGAGAACTTGATTGATGATGAAGAGAAGAAAAAGGAAAGATCGATACACGTTAGCAGATCAGATGTGGAAGGAGAAGAATTACTAAAGCCTTTGATAGGTATCCAGAATTCACTAGATAGATGAATAAATAAATTACTCATAATAACTTAATTAGAACACCGCAACTGTTATGCCCAAGTGATAAAAACAGAAGAACTTCAACATACAATGCTCCAGGTCTTTCTAGAGGACCGATCTCTTCCTAATTTTCCTTTTACAACCCACTAAAAAAACTACTTAGTATCATCTAACATAAAGAAAATATAAAAGATAATTACACATACAACTGCAGGAGGTTATAACTACATACCAGGAAGTTATAACTACCTGCCTCTATTTCTTCTCACATAAACCTGGCCACTAATCCTATCAGCCTTGAACTAAAAGGGTGAAATTACCACTTTTGAGAATGATCCCTTAGGATGCCAAACAAGAGTGGATAAAGTTTTTGAAGTTCAGAATGTCACTTCAAAGGAAAAACCACGTTTGGCTATCATTAGAATGGAAGGGAATGCAAGCCAAATAAATTTTGGTGTCAAAAGTCCAAGAATCAATCTTGGCAAGGGTTTGAAGCAACATTGAATAGGAGATTCGGATGCAGGTAGCGCAGTACCTTGTTTGAAAGGTTAGAAACAATAAGACCAAATGATAAGGTGGACGATTATATCAAATAGTTTGAAATGTTGGTATAACAAGCTCCACATATGTTAGGTTTCTCATAATGAAACCTAACTAATAGCCACTCACACACTCACTATTCACACACAGATGACAAAAGAAGGGGTTTCTTGTATTCAAATGGGTATGATACACTATACAGACACTCAATTGGGAGCCTATCCTCCCCCACAGGACCAAAGCTTCCTGTCAAAACAACTAACTGTCAAAAGTCCCCCTAACAAAAGAATAGAACTCTATATATACAAGTCACTTCCCGCCCATCCTAACTGCTAAAGCAGTTAGGATATTAACTCTTCCTTCTATCCTACACCCCTTATATCCTATCAACATATGTCTGAAGGAAAATTGTTTCGATATTTCTTTGCTGGGTTGCAAATTAATATTTGGAATCAAATTAGGCCGCATGATCCTAAAGATTCGATTAGGGCCATGGAAATTGCACAGGATGTGGAGGACACTATGAAAGACTTAAGGCACGTAGGAGGAACTTCATATCGAAATAACAATACCAGTTTTCGGTATCAGGAAGTAGCTGGAATAGTTTCATGTGCTTAAACCTTTAGAAGTACTAGATATATGCAAGCTATTTCTAATATGGACAACAATCCAACAAAAGGGTCACTCAGCACAACATATGGTTTAAGGATAGGAGGAAACACAACAATGCGTTTGAGGAACTGAATATGTTAGAAGAGAAGAGGGGGCATGTTTCAATTGGGAGGAGCATATAGTCTAGGGGTATCATTGTCCTGAAAAGAATTTTGGGGGTATCATCTCGGCTGAAGATGAGGGAATCTAAGAAGTGGGAGATATCAGGTAGATGGCAAATGGCGAGTTCTTAGAGAAGGGAGTAGAAGAATACATTGATTAAAAATGTCAGGCTTGTATTTGTCTCTTTTCTCGATAGGAGGATTGACACAACCCCATACTAAAACTACAAGGAAGATTGATGGGAAGATTTGTGTTGATCTTGATAGATAGTAGGACGAGTCATAATTTTATCTCGTCAGATTTGGTTCCTCTTCTTGGCTTGAAAGTGGATCTCAAATCCATCATACAATGTAATATTTGGAGATGGACATAATAGATAGAGTGGGAAGTATATAGAGCTGCAATTGGAAAACTATACTGTTAAGGAGACCTTTTTATTGTTTGATTTAGGACAAGTGGATTTGAATTTACGGGTAGCATGGTTAATGATAGGACAAATGGGCTCTAGAAGGGGGAGGGGGTGGGGTTGAATAGAATCTGGAAACACTTCTCGTGCAGGGCTAGCCTAGATGCCTACTATCAAGATCAAGCACACAAAAGATTTATACTAGTTCACCCAAACTCAGGGTTTCATCCAACTTTTCCTTAAGTTTTTTAGAGTAAGAACTGTCAAAAATATAAATAAAAGAGACACTCTCACAGTGAATGTAAATTAGGCTGTTACGTGCCTGAGTATGGAATGTAACTAGAACGCTCTCTTCACACACTCTCACAGGCAATGGACAATGAAAAAAATAGCTGAATGCCTCTTTTATTATAGAATCCGGGATCACTAAATTAAACAATAACTGGGAGCAGGATCTCCGTCAGCCACTTGAGAGCATAACCTCCCTTTTCAAACTCAATAATCAAAACATGTCTTTAACCCTAGGTTCCTCCTCTATTAATACTAATTACTCCTTCCCAAAAGGGTCGAGAATAATAACTATTATTTTAATTATAACTATTCGGGTACGAATATTCTAATCCTTCATGTATACTATTTAAGGCCTTATTTAATTATAATTATCATGGTAAAGAATATTTCTCTATCCTTATTTATTATATTTCCTTCTATAATACATACTGTTGTCAGTTCACGCTCGCAGCGGCTCAGGCCGCTCGCCTTGCTCTGCTCGTTCACTCCCTTTTTGCCTTCCACTTCGCTCAGGACCGCTCGATACCTCCGCGCCCCTCGTTGCTTCCACTCGCTCGGACGCTTCGTAGATCCTCCAGCCCCTCGTTGCTTTCCACTTCCACTCGCTCAAGGACGCTCGTCCTCTCCCCTTGTTCTTACACTCTCTCATGACGCTCGTTCCTCGTCCCGCTCGCTCATCTCCCTTTCTCTTTTCTTCCCCTTGTCGTTCTGCATCAAAGCTCCCCTTTCAACCGTTCGGCCATTGTCTTCTTCCTCTTCCTACGGTCCCCTTCTCTCCCCTTCTCTCCTCCCTCCTATATCTTCTTCTCTTCGTAAACTCGCCAGGTCCTAACATTACCCACCTCCTGAAGATCAACCTTGCCCTCAAGGT